GTCTGGAGTGTTTGTCCTATCATCTTCAAGTGGACAGCCCAGCTTTTCACGACCTGGAAAGACACCTGTATGGTTTTTGATTTGTGTTTTTTTTTGTTTTTGGTAACATGCTATCTTCTCTAAAGTGAATAGTGATGATCCTATTGAAAGTTTTGAAAAAAGAATGGATAGAGATAGGAAGGAGGTAAAGAAAGCAGAAATACTGATTTTTTTTTAAAGATTTTATTTATTTATCTGACAGAGAGAGACACAGCAAGAGAGGGAACACAAGCAGGGGGAGTGGGAGAGGGAGAAGCAGGCTTCCCACCGAGCAGAGAGCCCGATGTGGGGCTCGATCCCAGGACCCTGGGATCATGACCTGAGCCAAAGGCAGACGCTTAACGACTGAGCCACCCAGGTGCCCCAGAAATACTCTGATTTCATATGAAAAACCATCTACCTGGGAGCTTTGTTTTGCTAAGGAAGAGTGGGGGCAGCCCTGGTCAGAGCATGTGGTAGGAAATGGGAGTGTCCTATCTGGCACCTTCCTCACCTCGGGGCTTCGGTCACATGGAAGGTCATCTAAGTCTGCCCCCTGGCCAGGAGCAACATCTGTTTCCTTTCCCGTACCCCGAGGCTCAGGCTCTTCTTATAGCCCATAACCCTCCGAGGTTGTGAGTGCATCTCAACAAGGGCCATGTGGAGACCATGTCCTGCCTTTACTGTCCTTCTCAGTCAGGACATCATGCCCATCTTTTGAATCCAAGTCCTCCCTCCTCTGGGAAGCTTTTTCTGAGAAAAGCCCACCAATTGTGAGGCCTCCTGACTCACTTGGCTGAGTCAATATATAAGTGTAAAGACAGAAATGTTTTACATCGTCAATATCCTCCAGCCTAAGACCAAAGGAACATACCAGTAGTTGAACAAGTTGGGTAAAGAACCTACTATAAGCATTGGGTTTGGGTTTGATTATTTGGGGAAGTTTTGAAGGAAACAGGGGTTTGCTCCAGATTAGATGCTATTACAAAGTAGGGACAGTTTTTTTTTTTAAAGAATTTATTCATTTATTCATGAGAGACAGAAGGAGAGAGGGGGGGAGGGAGAGAGAGAGAGAGAGAGAGAAGCAGAGGGAGAAGCAGGCTCCCAAGGAGCAGGGAGCCCGATGTGGGACTCAATCCCAGGACCCTGGGATCGTGACCTGAGCCGAAGGCAGACGCTTAACCATCTGAGCCACCCAGGCGCCCAAAGTAGGGACAGTTCTATGATGGGTATTACAAAAAATCTTATCTATAGGGAGGGGAGACTAGAATCAGGATAAAATTATAATTGGTAAAGAAGTGGTAGACACTCATTTTAGCCAAGAGAGGAAGATGTTTAGTATTTTGTGACCTTGTTTTTGTCCCTGCTTAAGTAAAATTACAAAGTGGCCTTGCTTTGCCTCCTTTCATCATGGTCGCTGAATGCCCTTGTCTGATGTTGGTGTTCTATGACATTGTTTATGTCCAATAGGAGAATAAAAAGGCCTAGCATGGGTGCCAGTCCAGCTCTGAATGTCAGGGGCTGCTCTTTTTTTTTTCCAACATGCAGTCCTTTCTCCCAACTAGACTATGATATGCCACCAGAGATGATGGCCCTTGCTTCTCCATCCCTGGCAAGGTCTTACATGGGACATTATATGTAGTTGTTTAGTAAATACTTGCTTATTGACTAGAGATCAGGAGTGCTGGTCTGGAACTTTCAGAGAGCCTCAACTCTTGGCCATTTACTTTGTGCCTGGTTAATTAATCTTCTGCTGTCAAGTTTCTCCCGAAGCAGCACATATAAGAAGTAGGCCTATTTCAACTTCAGATTGAAGGTCAGGAGACTGGTTTTAGTCCTGGCTCCTCCGTTAAGTTGCAAGACCTTGGGGAAGCTAGTTAGCTGCTCTGGGCCTTAGTTTCCACATTTAAAAAAGAATGGTTAGCTTCAATATCTAAAAGCCTTTCCAGCTCTGAAATTTTGGAAGAATATGCATTTTTTCTTGCATCTCTTCTACATTTATGGAAAGTGCTAAAGGATACATGGCCACACATCATTATAGAGTGGAGTAATTACTCAACAAATGGTGCTATAGGTGAGCTGTTTAAAATTAAAGATAACTGATATTTTAACCTTATACTATGTGTCAGTATTAATTCCAAATGGATTAAGGAGTTAAATGTAAACATTAAGAAGACCTCCAAAAGGAAGAAAATATAAAATTTATCTCTGGATGAGAAAAGATTTGCAAATTTATGATGTTAAAACCATGAAAATAATATTATTAGATTTTGTAACATAAAAATGAAAAACTACATACTTAGAAATATTAACCAACTTAGAAGACAAAATCAAACTAAGAACATATTTTCAACAAATGGTTAATATCCTAAATATAATCCCATCTCATTCCATCTACCTATTTTACTCAAATCTTTACTAAAGCCAGGTTATGATCTCAGCCAGGGAGGAAGTGTGTAAGTGCATTAGCTGGGAACAACGGATTCCTCCAAAACCAAATTAGATGATTCTCTCTGAAGGCCTGAGAAACTACTCAATAGCTTCTCTCCAGTAGTTGAAGAATGGAAAGATTATTATTGACATAATAATACCTTATGTGTATATAACATATCACAGTATGAAAAAGAGCATTACCCCATTATCTTGTTTGATTCTTAGAGCAACACTGTAAGATAGCTAATTATTACTCTCCCTTCAAAAATGATAAACTGAGGCATAGAAATGATAATTTTCCTACAATCACATCAGTGGCTAAATGTTAAAACCAACTCTAGACCTCAGATTGGGATTCTACCTCAGTTTTGCTCTCTTTATAGTGAGGATTACAAATTAGAGATTTTCTACATTGCCTTCCAGATTTAAACCAACGTCTTTTGATAGCACCATGCTCTATTATTGTGGTGGAAAAATAAAAAATAAAAACAGTAAAATTTTGTTGGGTTGATGAAAGGAAAACATCCCTCCTCACTTTGACAGGATTTATTGGTATTAAATATCCAAATATTATTTGCTATGTTTTTTCAAAAGACATTTTTAGTATTATAAAACTTTTTTTTAACAGAATGAGTATGAAATAGCAGTTAATTTCTGCATAATTTTCAGAATTACACTTGAGGTCTTGATTAAGTAGATTTTGAAATCAATAAAAAGACTTGGGGGGCACCTGGGTGGCTCAGTCCTTAAACGTCTGCCTTCGGCTGGGGTCATGATCCCGGGGTCCTGGGATCAAGCCCCGCATCGGGCTCCCTGCTTGGCGGGAGGCCTGTTTCTCCCTCTCCCACTCCTCCTGCTTGTGTTCCTGCTCTTGCTGTCTCTCTCTGTCAAATAAATAAATAAAATCTTAAAAAAAAAAAAGACTTGGACTGTTGCTTCAGAAACATCCTAGGAAGGCTGCTCTTTTAAAGTCTGTCAGGCTTATTAGCTCTTAGGAGATGACCTGGTCCTTTAAAAGAAGTATCTCTTTTTTGTTCATTCTTTGAAGGCTTAAATTTGTCAGGGTTCATTATATACCTTCTAACTCCTCTCATTCACCACTTCTTCAATACTCAGTTCTGACTGCACCCATGTCAATTTTGTCTATTCTTTTCCAAGTAGCTTTAACCATGTTAAATTGTCCCACTTCTTTCTCTCTTCTTGGGAGATTTTTACTACTGCTGAAGTCTGAGCTGTACACCATTTTTATGACCCTGTCCCTAGTTGCATGAGCCATTATCAAGTGGAAATCGGGGAACACCTTGCAATTCACATGGCCCAAGGTGTCTCTGTATTGGACCACTATACTTTTTCAGACACTGGTAAAATTAAAGGGACAGGAGTCGTGTGGACCTGAGAGTCGTGGAGGACCCTCAGGCCTTGAAGAACAGGGAGGTAACCACGAGCAACCCTAGAACCTAAGGGCCTTGGTCACTCATTGGGGGCTGAGCATGTCAATCCTTGCTTCTCGACAAATGAGCCTGGAGGTCCAGCAGCGGGCCGCGGCCCATTGTTGAAGCTTCTGTCCCCGCCCCCAGTCACGGTTCTAGGGGGACCTTTGTAGTCCTGTCCACTGTCACCTGAGCGGAGGGCTGGGTGGGCCGCTGGTGACATCCACCCCCTTCCCTTCCCGTCGCGGGCCTCCTCAGGCACCGCCACAGACTGTCCTCCCCTCCGTGGCCTGCTCCTCGGCCGCCCAGTCCACCTCGCGTCGGGCCCCGCTGCCCACGGCCTCCAGTCTGCGGCAGCCCCCTCGGGGGCCACCATCTTTGCCGTTGGCGTCGCCTCGGCCTGGTCGCCGCCCCAGCGAGGTATTGCTCAGTGCCATGTCCGCCTCCGGGGACACAGGCGGGGCCCCAGGTGGCCAGGAGAGGCCCGTGCGCGTGGCGGGGGCGTGGGCCCCGGAGGCCGGAGGCGGCATCGGGGTGGCCGTCGAGTCTGGGCTCCCCCGGATGGAGGTGGTCGAAGTGGCGGGGCCCGTGGGAGGCCTCGGGGAGTTGCTGGTGGCCCTCGAGTCCGGGCCCCCTGGAATAGAGGTGGCCCTCGAGC